CCTTCTTTCTTGTCTTCCTTCCCTACTTTTTACAGTTTTGCTCTTCTAACTACCACAGCACACCTTCTCCCGGCACCATACACAATCTCTGGCAAATGAATTTCTTAGTTGAATATACAGCACAAATACACCAAAATGCAAAAGAGAAAAGTGAACTAAGATGTTTCAAAAAGCATCCCCTCCTCCAACACATGCATATTCATTACATATGAAATATACTTTAGAGTCCAAAACTTCCAAACTTCAGTTTTCAAACTTGAAAGTAGCTTCACAACTATTTTATTTGGAGGCAAAGTCTTTGCAGACTCCCAAGTGTGAAAATAAAAAGTGATTTACAGGAAAACAGATTTTATTAAAAACAGAATGATTATAGAAAAGATCCAGACACAGGTGGAAGAGACTAAGGCATCCAAAAGGCCAGGTTTCTACATCAGATCTATCAATAGCATAGGAGAAAACACAATAACAAAACAAATGAAGATCTTAAAGGAGAAAAACATGTATCAACTAGTTGTCACCAAAACTCCTGTAGGACTTTTACCTGTCTCAACACAAAGGAAAAAGGAAAAAAATCTCTCCTCTATTATTTCCTACTGGAAGTTGTTGACTAAAACTGATGTTCATTAAAAAGAAAAACATTAGTATCATGCAGCTGAAAGTCCATAAATGAAAAGAACAGTCATTTCTACCAGCTTGGTCTCTAAGATAAAATGGTCTTATTATTATGTAAGAAACAAACATGGGTAATAATAGTAAGAGAATATCTTGATGGTTTTTTAAGAACTTTACCAGCATCAACTCATTTTGCTGCCACTAGAGTTTAATGAGGTTAAGTATTATTAGTCCCCGTGTATGAATCAAAAAACAAAAACTTAAACACAGTAGTTGACTGAATCAAGACTTGATTCATAATAACCACCGTTTAACGAATCTTTGCTTCAGACACCTATTTGTTCTCTGTGTATTAACTTATTTAATCATCATCAAATCCCTTTGTGAAGGGAGCTGTTGTACTCTCATTATATACAAAGACTTAGAACTATAAGTTACATAGCTAGTGAATGATCAAGCCAGAATTCTAAACCAGGCATTCTTAATCTACAGGTATTCGATTTCAAGTCTAGATCTCTATCAATGACAATCCTATATGATTTCTCAAGTAGAATCGTAGTTACATTGATTTTTTTAAGCTATAATGTGTACAATAAATATGCAATAAACGTGCCTGTCTGAAAGAAAAGTTATCGATAATATCCATCGATCAGCTAAAACCAGTTAAATTCATAAATTTGATGCCCATAAAAGACCAATTATTTGTTCTGATTGATAAATACTACCCCCATAGTAAATTATTAAAGTGTTAATAAAATAGTCTTTGATACATATTAAAGTGAGGATTTATGCTTATGTATATTTCTGCTCCTGAATTTTCATGTGTTTCTTTTAAAATAAGGTTAAAGCTTTACTTTTCTCTCTGGTTATTTATTACTAAAGCAAAGTAATTTGTAGTTTGTCATCATATATAATTTCTTCTTGAACAGATGGTTAATAAAACAAGCAGATAAATACAAACATTTCTAAATGGGAAAAGACCAACTAAATGATCTGCTATATGAGTACAATATAAATACCACCACATTAGGCTAGGATATGAAGTAACCACATTTTTTCTAACTGTCTAGTGGTAGGGAATTAAATGGGACAAATTTGATTTGTAGATTCTAGAGCCGTGAGGCAGCAGAGAAATGTGAGCTTTAAGCCCTGTGCTTTGGGTTACCTATCTGAAGCTATTTCTGGCCTGAAAAAATAGGTTTTTTACACCATAATTTTGATGATGTAATCTAATATTATTAAAAAGTGAAGTTTGATTCTGAGAAAGATTTGTAATCTCCAGCTAGAAACATTTTCAATTATTTGGTCTATAGTTTTAGTAATAATGTTGACATCATAGTGGGTAACGATTACAGTTTCTGGTGGGTACAAGTATGCAGCTTCTTCAGCAAAAGATGCAGAGCAATGCGTTCAATAAGATGTATTCGTGAGGGCAATCCTGGAGTTTTAGGCACGATCCCTTTTTAGGGCTGACATGACAGTAAAATCCCATGTCATTTTCATGGGACGTAGAATTTCACAGTATCCTCTGTGGCAGAAATTACCAAATCTACTTTTTAAGTGAAAAAAAGTTAGAAGTCATCAGGTAAGTGCCTTGTCCACATTAGTAAAAAGAATCCAGGTCTTACTGGCCTCACGATGGAAACAACATGAGTTTTAGACTCTGACTTGAGTTCTACTCTCAATTTTGCCAATTATCCAGACAGAGCTTTGGAGATACTCAGTGAAGGCTGGTAATTTGGGACTCCTTTAAAAATCACATTTAAAAAATATTTTTTCAGTGTGGTTCACACACACAATGAAATATTATGCAGCCATAAAGAAGGACAAACATACAGACCTTGCAGCAACTTGGATGGATTTAGAGTCTATCATACTCAGTGATCTATCACAGAAACAAAAGAACAGAGTACCATATGTTCTCACTCATAAGCGGACTTTGAACAATTATCATAATGCTATAAGAAAGGAATAGGCAGTAGTGGGAAACTGCCAGGAGCGGGGGTGGGATTGGCAGTTGAGAAAAACTGCCAGGGAGGGAGGGACACACCTCATCAACAAGGGTACCTGCATAATGAACATTTGTATACCTAATCCTGAATTGTATCCCACATCTTTAATAAAAAAAAAGAAGAAAAAATATTTTTTCAGTATTTATTTAGAGATTAAGCAAAGGACAAGGGCAACATGGATTAGAAAGACTGTTGGGAGTGGAATGCAACTGCTCTTTTGAACATGCCACTTACTAAAATCCATAATAATCATTATTATTTATTTGTTTTTGTTTCATGATCTGTCTTCCCCACCCAACCATACATATGTCAACACATTTGGATGTAATATTAATGAGGGTAGAGCCTTTGCCTTTGTTAGCAGCAATAGTGACCAGAAATATACGTAAGGACATGGTATTCAGTGAGTATTTGCTCAATTAATCGATAATGTCAAGCTTTTTTGGAAGAATAAATGAGATATTATATGTTAGATGGTTCTGATGGTCAAAAGGAATACAAAGTATTTCTGAAGTTTTTGTATGGCTGAGCAGTCATTTCTTTAAAAGAAAAGCATTCAAGCCGGGCTCGGTGGCTCAGCCTGTAATCCCGCACCTTGGGAGGCCAAGGTGAGCGGATTGCCTGAGCCTATGGGTTCGAGACCTGCCTGGGCAACTTGGCGAGACCTCATCTCTACAATAAATCAAAAACTAGCCGAGTGTGGTAGTGCGCGCCTGTAGTTCCAGCTACTTGGAAGGCTGAGGTGGAAGGATCGCCAGAGCCCAGTGGGTCGCCAGACTCCAGTCTGGGCGACGGAGTGAAACTCCAACTCAAAAAAAAAAAAGAAAAGCATTCATATTAATTTTATTATTAAATAGATATATTACAAATAGGTTACATATTTAACTAACTTTATTCTGAAAAGAATTTGAGAAGGTCATTATACAGGCCCCTCTTAGTATAAATTTGATTCCCATTTAAATTTTTCAATAATTTATCACTCAAAGATATAAAGAATTTCACATGCCCTTATCTACATCAAAACTGGTTAAAACGTACACATCATAGAATGTTAAGCAGGAAACGACCTTATACAGTAACTAGTTAAATTCCCATATTTTTTGGAAACCCCAAACGTAGAAACAAAGGGCTAGAAATTTAAAAGAATTTCCCTTTTTAAAAGAGCTGGTATGGGATTAAAAAAAGGTCAACTCAACTAATTCTATGTCCCATTTCTTCACATTTTCCTTTTAGTTTGGCTTCAAAGACCATCAAGGTACATCTTCCCCTATTTTTGGTAGCGTATTTTTATAAGATGGTCAGTTCAATCCAATGGTTCTAATAATATATTCTTAGATAGGTTTCATGTTTTTCAACTAATACAATAGCCCAAAAGCATATGGTCCGCTTATGATTATTATTAAAACCTTAGTACATCAAATATCTTATAGATTATAAAACTACATATAAATAAATCTCTCACCCAAAAGTAAATACATGAGAAAATGAGAAATATTTTTATGAATAAGGTAACTACTTTTAAAAATCTATAACTACGCACACTACCACTGGCCTGAAAGAATGCTCTCTAGGAACTGGTGAAAAACATATTTAAAAAGAAAAAGTGTATAAAAATCTTCCTCAAAGTGAAAAGCAGCATACCATATGGAAAAGCATAAGCTTTAAACCCAGATAGACTCTGTCTTGTATCTCAACTCTGCTGCTAATTCTGAGACAGTTATTTAACCACAATAGTAAAATAGGAAGGTTAATGTGCACATTGCAGGAACATTGAAGATTAAATGAAATAATGTTTGTAAAGTGTTTGACTCACAGTGATGCTCAATAAAAAATGATTTGGTGATTTTAATTTTTTGTTTGTTTTCTGAGTCGAAATCTCTATCTGTCACCCAGGCTGGAGTGCAGTGGTGCCATCATGGCTCACCACAGCCTCAACCTCCTAGGCTCAGGTGATCTTTTCACCTCAGCCTCCTGAAGAGCTGAGATTTTTTAATTTTTTAGTAATGATGAGGTCTCACTATGTTGCCCAGGTGGCCTTAAATTCTTGGGCTTAAGCAATCCTTCCACCTCAGCCTCCCAAAGTGCCACTGCCTCTGATTGTTGATAGAGTAGAAAATAAGGATCAATTCTTCACATTTGAAGCAAACCACCATTAACAGTGAAGAAGTCAGGACAACCTAATTAAATTATAAATTATATATGGAAAAGAAATTCCACATTTGCATGAATTTTCCAGGATGACCATTCCAAATTTACTGGAAGAGGAGAAGAGGAGAGATAACTAAAAAGTTATATTAAGGAGCCCTCAATCTGTCTTCTTCTGTGAACTCATGATGAATGGTGGTCATGTGTGTGTCTCCTTCCTGTGTGCAATTTCTGGCAATAAAAATAATTCCATTTGTTTCTATATCACTGGAGATAGCCTACTGAAACACAAGTGAGCATGATATTATTATTAGGTTAGACTGAAACTTGCTCCAGTCTGCTTTAAAAATAAATAATTTTCAAATGTATGCATTTTAACTATGTATGTATTTTAATTTTACTTACAAATTTCTTGGGATATACTTCACAACTGATCAGGATTCAAACTTATCTATTTTATAGATTAGTAGACTGAAGCTCAAATTAATAACTAGCTTGAAGTTGAACAACAAATGCAGCAAAGCAAGAACCAAATTCAGAGTTCTCGCCACATATATTGTATTAGAATCTTAGTGCTCTAAAAGAACTTCTGGTCCTCAAGGCCTCTCAAGGTACCATATTTCAGCTGTACAGTTGGAACCTAAAGGTTCCATGATATCCTCTCTTTTTTAATGTGTCTCAGTTCTTCCTCTATTTCTTAGAATGGTAGACATCTGGAAAACTTGTCGGCAATTTTATTGCTGTATTTTCATTTATTGCCACTTAATAATTGCCAGTCAGTAACAAGAGAAAGAGAACTGACGGTTAGCCACTCCTAAAACATGCCCAGTCATGTCAGCGAACTATCCATCAGCTGTGTTATCTCCCCCAGGGAGCCTCCATTTTAATTATGCAATACCACACTTAGCCAGCAGGAAAACCTACCTCTGACCTGGAAGGCCATGGATGAAAATCAAATCCTAGTCAAAACCTTAGAAACCAGAATATGGCAAGATTGTGCTCAAAATAGTTTCAAGTATTATTCCCTTTTCTTAACATCCTTTACTTTTACAGAATAATTTGCTATTTTAATTTATATTTTTAAAAGTTTATTTACCTTATTCTAAGCCTAGAACACTGAACTAAATAGGGTTTTGATTGGGTACATTCTCCTGTCTCTGTTGTACACTATAAATATTCTACAAAATGAAAGCAAAATATGAATATTCTGATAGCAAGTTCCTGGATGACTATTGCTTATTCTACTTCCGAGGTTTGAAAATGAGGTTTTAAGACTTCTTTACTCTTTTTAAACATTGCTCATTTAGATTACTGTCTAACATTCATGAGAGTATATATTTTCAATGTCATGATCATTGCCAAAATAAAACCTCTGCCTTCCAGATAATACTACTCAATGCTATGTGCACAATCATGACCTCACTAAGTAGGAAAGAAAACCAGTCAGAATAAGAATGTGTTTGTCTAAGGTAGGACATAACAGTGGGATCCCAGTGCTATCTTTGGTAAGAGATAGCAAATCTTCACAGTGGCCAAAGGAGGCATAGACAATGCTTTTGTTTGGCTGTTTGTCTGTCTGTCTGTCTGTCTGTTTGTTTGTTTTTAATCTTCCCAAGTCCAGAAACTGAGAAAAGCATTTGATAAGCTTGTGAGACATTTATCTATGATAATCTTCTCCGTCTGAGATCTGATGAGCACTTACTTTCAATTGCCTTGATTTTATTTTCCCATGGAACACAAGCAGCTTTGAAGTTCTCGAAATCACGGAGGAATTTTGCCCATTTCTGAAAAGGAAGTCAAGGAAAGCTCAGCCTCTTGGTCTGTCAAGATGTTTATCTCCCACCCCAAAACATCACAGTGTGATGAACTTGGAACCATCTCTCTGGGACCAAATACTGCTTTCTAGTAAAAAGGGGAAACATTAGATTTCGCTTGTTTCCCTATTCCTCACCACCCCCAGACCAATTTAATTCAAAAAATGTTTATTAACTGCCTGTTTTATTGGAAATATGCTGACCACTCAGAAGGAGCTATTTATTCTACTAGAAAATAAGCAGACAGGAACTGAGTTAGCACATAATAAGGTGATTGGCACATAGTATGTGCTTATTCATATTCATTGCATGAAAGAATTAAAATATAAATAAGATACAGTTCCTATCTTGAAAGCCTTCTGGTCTACTAGAGAAGCCTGTATATAAATAGGTATCTTTAATACTCAATGCTAAATTCTGTGACATGGAACACTTCAGTCTGATAGAGGCAGAGCAGTCAGCTAAATGGAATGGCATGGTGTCATAGGAATGGGAAGAAGAAAAAGAATTATAAGTTAGTTTACAAAAGGTCTTCCTTCTATTTTAGTCCAGTGTTGGGTCATCCATTGCCAAGGGGAGCCCTAGAAAGATTGGGAACGTGGCAGATAACTTTGCATGTGTGCACATTATGTGGGGATAATGTGGGAGCTGGACAGGCACATTAAATAATTGTGTGAGACCAGTCTGAAGTTAAAGAGATTACTCAAAACCTAGAAACTGCATAAATGTTCATCTACAAAAGAATGGATACACCGTGGCATCTTTCATACAATGGAGTGCAACACATCGATAAAAATGAACTATAACTCCCACAGCAATATAGATGTGTCTCATGAACATAATGTTTCATCAAGGAAGTCAGAAACAAAAGCATAAATACTACATGTCTCCATGTAGTTAAACTGTAGAAAAAGATATATGTACATGAAAGTTAAGATATATGAACTTTATTCACAAAACTTTATGGGAATACATTTAGCTTACAGTTGGTATAACATTTGTAAAGAGGGGATAATAATATCTATGTTCCTAAGTTACTGAGAGAATTAAATATAACCTTATAAAAGAATTCAATTCAATGCTTGGCACATAGTAAGTGCTAAATAAATGTGTTTCTTTTCTGTCTTTCCCAAAAGTCTATATTTGTATCAGTATACCGTTTATCTTTTTCTTATTTTCTGTCCAGTGTATAGTTGATGTTCCTAGTGAAGAAAAGTTTGAAGAAAAGCTATATGGCACTGAAAGTTGTAGCTATTTTGACCAGACCTCTTCACTTCCAGGAATGAAGATGAAAAGGGCACAATCTTTTACATTTGAAAGTTTTAAAATCACACGAGTGGCCAGGCGCATAAACCAGTGCTTTGAGAGGCTAAGGCAGGAGGATTGCTTGAGCCCAAGAGTTTGAGACCAGCCTAAGAAACATAGCGAGATCCTACGTCTATGAGAAATAAAAAAAATTATCTGGGCATGGTGTCACGTGCCCAGCTACTCAGTACTACCGGAGGCAGGAGTCTCGCTTGTGCCCGGAAGTTCGAAGCTATGGTGAAGCATAATCACGCCACTGCACTCCAGCCGGGTGGCAAAGTGAGACCCCGATTAAAAAAAAAAAAAATCACATAAGTAAGTCTTTTGCCATAAATTAATATTTCTCAACTTATTTTCCATTTTAACTCCTCTAAGGACAATTTTTTAAATCCCTCCCTTCAAATTGTAATGCCACAGTTATACTGTACATGTATTATATGTATATCTGTGCTTTATACATACAAAGTGTAAGATTCTCTTCACCCCTTCAGAACAGAACCAATTGCCCTTGGGGGCAATATGGCATAAACTGGACTGGATTATGAAAATACCTACCTTGGCCATCATCATCTTAAACGCAAACCACCGTTTTCCTTTTCCTTTTCCAAGAGCCCCTTCATTTTCACTCACAAATTTTTTTGCTTCCCTGAGAAAAATAAAACAAAATCAGGTATAGATGGAGATGGATTGAGATGAATATAGAGGTAGTGGACGTTTAATTGTATTAACTGCAGCCTTATTTCTTCTAGATCCTTAACAAATAAGCCCAAGCTGTATTTCATAACCTAGAGACTTTCAATGTATGTTTAAATTTTTTAATTCTGGCCAGGAAGAGCAAGATATTTTAGTCTCACTTATTAATCAGCTGGGGTCACGAAGAGCAAGAAATGTGTGCCAAGTGTCAAAATAGAGAACCCTAGCTCTCATTTCTACCACATATAATAAAATAGAATCTGAAATTTATATAAGATTCTGACAGTCAAGAATGTTTATTTTAAAAATCTTACTTTTTCTTCAATAATTCCTTTAAAAAGGGGGTGGAGGCAGAGAGTGTAGGACAAATTGGCATAGAACACACTTAATAACCTGGTATTTAATACTGTAAAAGCAATTATGACTTAAAACAGAAAACTCACTCTGTGAAACAAACGGCTGAGGGAAAAGGGAAAGAAAAGGAATACATTTGGCCTCACATTCAGAAAAAGTTTTAAATTTAAACTTTAACATTATTCCCAAATGTTTATACATTTACAGTAGTCACATTACTGTCTTTGTCTGTGGTAAAAAACAAAAACAAAAACATGAATTCATCAAAACAAATAATGTTTACACTATAATTTCTATGATCTTGTTCAGTCATTGCTGTGAACTGAATGTCCGTGTCCCCACAAAATTTATATGTTGAAATCTAATCTCCAATGTGGTGATATTTAGAGGTAGGGTCTTTGAGAGATGATTAGATCATAAGGGTGGAGCCCTTAAAAATGGGATAGTCCCCTTATCAGAAGAGGTCAGAAAACTAGCTAGCCCTCTTTCTTTCTCATGTGAGGATACAGAAGTCAGCTGTCTGCAACCTGGAAGGCCCTCACCAGAGCCTGACCATGCTAGCACCCTGCTCTCTAACGGTTAGCCTCCAGAACTGTGAGAAATACATAGTTTAAGCCAGCAATGCTAAGGTAATTTGTTCTATCAACCTGAACTGACTTAAGGCAGTCATTTTTTATGATAGTTTGATATATGAAAATAATTTTTAAAATAAAGGTGGTCCAGGCTTCTCTTCACCTGTAAGAGGCTGGAAAGCATATTATCTATGTAATGGAGAATAGCCACTGTCATGATAACCAGTGACCCAAATCCAGGTTGTGGTTATAGAGGTGTAGGGCAGTGCTGTTGCCAGCTGGATGGCCCCTGGCATGTGTGGTTTACAGACAAGACCCTTCAACATACAACTGTAAGTAAACTATAAGTAAACTTCTTATTAACACTCAACCTTCAAAAATGAAAGGTTTTGAAGGATTTTTATTAAAATGTTCCTTAGTATCAATGCTAACCTCAGGATTTTACAATACACATAGATCAAAAGACAACGCACATATGCTGACTACTGATATGAGAGTGTGAGGACTCTATTCACCTGCACACACGGGCTGGGCTCGGTGGCTCAGCCTGTAATCCCAACACTTTGGAAGGCTGGGGCGGTGGATTGCCTGAGTCTGTGAGTTCAAGACCAGCCCGGGCAACTTGGCAACACCTCGTTTCTACAATAAATCAAAAATTAGCCAGGCATGGTAGTGTGCGCCTGTAGTTCTGGCTATTTGGAAGAATCACCAGAGCCTAGCAGGTCAACGCTGGCATGGCCATGAACATGCCACTGCACTCCGGCTTCGGCAATGGAGTGAAACTCCAACTCAAAAAAAAAAATACACACACAGTGGTGAAGTTTCTCTTCAGTCATCAGACAGAAACCCCAAATCAGTTCCTTAATAGCAGGGACAATCTCCTGTCCTTTTCTATCTCCTAAGCTTCGATCACTGCTTTGACCACAGGGGCTGTTTAATAAATGCAAATCTTCTGAAAATAGATTTGTTTGGCATAACTTGAGGTAGATGTATACACGGAAGCATCTAATGATTTTATTTTCCACATTAATTAATGCTTGAAAGCAAAGTCATTCCTGGACTTTTGGATTATACCCTTTACTGTTAATCTCTGAAACTCAACTGGCAGCTTCTTGCAAATGGAGAAGTTAACACACTGGCCAAGTTTCCAAACCGCCCGACATTTGGCATGATCCCTGGGCTGGGAAGATTAGTTGAAAAATACTTTCCAAAACATTCTGCACAGTCCAAAATGTTCAATAAAGGAATGTCAAAAAATTAGAAACTGAGTTCTTATGTTTTTTAGATCCATGCAATGAAGAAAAGTCATCCCATCTAAGCATCAATGATGTGTTCCAGAAGTGATGAGACAGATAGAAGGGTGGCACTAGCAGGCACTTTACAAAATGTTGAACTCAAGCCTCTAAACTGAAAATCGGATAATTTGGGTTCTAATCCATACTTTGTGTTCTGTCTTTGTGACCTTGCCCACCTTTTGACGCTCTCTTGTCCTTCGTACGCAAGTGTTCTGCTTTTCATAAGAAATCACACTTGCCCAGGACTCACATAGATCCGAGCAAGAGCTGACGCAGTTTTCCTCAGTCACTGTGTGGCTTTTAACAGATCGGGATTTCCTAAACAAACAAATGGTCAGGCAAGTGCTTCCCTGCTTCCAAGGTGGTGGCAAAATAGATGTGAAAGTGTTGAAAGGAATATTCCACAGTCAATTCTAGGGCAATGCTTGTTTTGAAACCGTGACTTTGTTCTAACAAGGTTGATATATTACAGAAAAACGTGAACATAACACAAATTTGGGGTTTGCTTATGCGTGATTTTATCCACAAGAAACAGTAGATGAGTACAGAAAACTGCACACAGCTAAACCAAGCAGTATAAGATTACACAAAATGCACACATCTCATCTGCCACCTACCTCACTTCTAAGGACAGCTGAGAAAAGCCATATCCATTCACAGCTGGTATTACAGTAACCCTCCTTCCACACTTCACAGTAAATCATAAGCTGCAACCCTTTTGAAAGCCACTTCCACTATCAAACTTCAGATCTTTTTTGGGTAAACTAACATACTTATTGTAATATGTATGTGTTTCTGACCATTCACGTACCATAAAATGTTGCTGCCATTTTTACTAAATTCCTACCTTTTTTAATGCATCACTAATGATGTTTCTGGGTATTGTGTCCCACCCTTATGTTTTCTATAAACGCTGTGGTTTGTTATTACCCAATTTCGCATAGTGTAGTGATATTTAGAAGCTCATATATCATGCTATAACCGAACTGACTATAATTCAATAATTTGGCATCAAGAATTTTGAAATTCATAAAACCAAGTATACAGAGGAGTTATCACATCGATCTCTATTATAATGAACACAGAACTAGAGAATCAAAAATTATTATTAATAGCAAAATCAAAATTAGCTTATCCAATGTAATAAAGTACCCATTTTTTAAATATTCAATAGTCTGCATACTTAGCAGATAATTTAAAAGACATTCAGTTTGGCTTATTAGAGTTATATCACTTTCTAGATGAGTGGCCAATTATAGAGCAGGACTTTGTTCTACACAGAAGTGTGAAGAAATCGCCATATTTCTGCCAAGGTTTTTAATCTTGAGTGATAATGAACATTAAACTGGCAAAACTTAAGAGAGAAAGAGAAGGAATCAGTGTTACAACCAAATAAAAATCACTACAAAAAATTATAAATCAATAATATCCTATCTACATAGCATTAAAGATGCTTTTGTTAATTATCATAAGTATATACTTTTTCAACAATATAAACAAGTTTCTTTGCCTCTTCAATTGCTAGTAGTTTTCTCTGACTCTAGGTATAGTTTCATACATCTCTTTCAATTATTACCCCACCCCAAACTCAACATATATGTTCTGACTCTAGTTTTTAGACCAAAGTCCAGACTTCATTCTATATTACATAACCTCAAGCACGAATTTATTCTCTTCCCTAGTGTTCTTCCCCTTCCTCCATTCTCTGAGAGATCCCCCCCAAGTTTCATACCAAAGGGGTTCCTGAATCCTAGTTACTCCCTACTCCCCATCTCCCACGCTGTCCGCGATAAATGCTGAACTCAACTCGTCAGATATGTTGAAAATAGCTTTAAAACAAAACCAGAGACCATGGGGTTGGCTAAGAATAATTGTTTGGCAAGAAGAGATTCTTGATTCCCCAAATCTGATGCTCATAGAATGTAAGGAAGCACCCTGGCTGCATGCAGACCTTGAAGAAAGGACACTGGGTTGGAAGAGATCAGCGACTCAGTGAGAGAACATGCTCTAATACTATTTTCAGAGCTGACCTTTGCAACGAGTTGGCATGATTTCAGAATGGAAGATCTGCAATCACCTAATCCATCCTCCCTGATAACATATTTCTTAACCAGAAGACATCTTTCAATGTGCAATCACAAACAAGGCACAAAAAAAATCCAATACGGATGTGAACACTTATCAACACATAACACACTAAAGTACCCATGGCAGAGATCAGAATAAAAGAACATAAGAACAGTCTTTGGAAACCTAAAAAACAAGAAAAACTCTTTATATTTTTTTCTGTAGTCAATCTATTTTCTTACTCATTTGTATTTATCTGGATAATTTAAAGAGAATTTTCTCCATGGCTAAAAGGAAATAGGTTTTGTGGATAAACACTGAATATCTATTGGCCTTAAACCATCCAAATGTCTGACTGAAAAATGTGTGTCATCCCCTTGAACTGCATTCAACAGAAGCCACCTGCCAAGGTTGTAATCCGGTCTCCTGGTCTCAGAGCTCAAGCAAACCCTGGTACAATATGCACAGCTCTCTGAACTGTAACACCAGACCCAGAGATAAATAATTGAGCGAGGTCTATTTAATGACAATAATACCTGGCCTCATTATTCATTTATTAACCTCTTATGTTGGTAATTAGAATAATAAGGTTTCATGGGCTCTCAAGAGTGCTTTCACAGTTAGTTGAAGAAGCACCACTTTGGCCTAACTTACAAAATAGATAA